TAGGCATCTCCCCCTGTCCTTGGCTTGCAGACAGTTGCCTATGTGGCACAATGGACGTGCGCAGGCAGAGCGCTTGTCTCCGGCACGGGAACATCCGAGAACAAGCCCAATTCCTTCCCTTTCTTCAGGTTTCCCTAAAAAAGGGGGGGGTGGAATCCAGCATCACAGGGATTCACTAAGCTGGAGCTCTTAGAGTCTCACATGAGCCCTCCCACGCTGCTGAAGGTGTTTGCTTTGAGTGACGTGCGATGCTCTTGGTGGCTATCGCCGAGCTGCTCTGCATGGCTGGACAAGGAGGCAGGGAGCAAAGCACTGGGCTTTCATCTACTAGAGAGGAGGGATGCTCCTCACAGCCCCACTGTGCCTGCATAGCCCATCCTCAGCACAGCACCTTCATCCATCCCATCCACTGGTGTCTGCCTGGGAAAGCACCGCTAGCAGCACGGCAGGCCTCAACAGAAGAGGGATAAGCTATTTCTTGTCCCATGAAGTCTGAATGGCTGAGATGCTCAGCAGCTTGCAGGCTTAAGTCCTGAGTTTGTAAAGCAGTAGCAAATGTGGTGCTGACTTAATGAGCTAAATACCCATTAGCTTATTTATAATGCCAGTGATACAAGAAATGATCTCATCTGTGTCTGGAGAACAGCACAAGGAAGTGAAAGAGCAGCTCACAACCCCCAACATCTAAACAAAACCAACCCCAAAAGCCCTAAACCCCCCTAAAACCCCACTGCCACAGACACAGCTCCGCTTGCATCCGCTCAAAGCCTTTCACAACCTCTGGTTGTGATGGTGGCAGTGAGACATCAGTGAATTCACCTTGGCCACAACACTCCATGCCCAGGCCGTTGGCTGCAGTCTGCAATGAGTGCAGTGCAGCCAGCTTGGCTGCTCTCGCAGGACTTGGCTCTTGCAGCCACTAGGTCTGGAAGCAAAACCATCCCATCACCTAAATACATTGGCATCTCCATCCAGTGCAAGGCACGGGCCTTTTGAGAGCAGTGAGTGCTTGAGGGGAAAGCAGCGAGTCTGTCACTCGTCCCTTCACTGTCTGGGGAGCTTGCAATGGGATATGGAAGTGTAAGCAGCTTTTAAACTGCATAAAGAACACTGTTAATGCTGCCAGTGAAACCAGGCACGGAGCAGCCTTTTTCTTTTAAAGGTGAGACTATTAAAGATGAGACAAAGCACAGTGTGTAATTTGGATATATATATCTCCAAATTATATATATATATCCATATTATATATATATATTTGCATAATTTAGATATAAGGAAGTTCTTTACTGTAAGGGTGCTGAGGCACTGGAATGGGTTGCCCAGGGAGGTTGTGAATGCTCCATCCCTGGTGGTGTTCAAGACCAGGTTGGACAGAGCCTTGGGTTACATGGTTTAGTGTGAGGTGTCCCTGCCCACAGCAGGGGGTTGGAACTGGATGATCTTAAGGTCCTTTCCAACCCAAACCATTCTATGATTCCATGTAAATCCCATCCCCACCATGGCTGGCTGTTCTGGACGTGCAGTTGTTTCCATCACCCCTCTATGGGTGGGCTGGATTTGTCAGCTAAACCAAACTGAATCAAACCCCAAGTCTCCCTCCACAAGGGCTGCTCTCAGGCTCTTCACCAGGCAGCATCAGTCCAGCAACCCCAGTTTGGCTCCTTTCCTGGGGGCACACAAGGAGGGAAACACAACACCCTAAAAATAGGATAAATAAAACCCCTTTGCTCTTGGGGGCAGGCTCATTTCCTGGATCCAGAACCCTACCCTGGCCGTGGACCCCCCTGTTTGCAGTGGCTGAACAGCTCAGAACCGTGATGTTGCTTGAAAACATCCTGGTTTAGCCCCATTTTTCATTCCCAAGGCTGCATCCCGAGGCACGTTGTGAAATGGAGCCCCCAGGCCAAAGTCTGGGAGAGCAGTCAATAGGGAGGGAGGCCCTCGTGCAGAGCTCACTCTTGTTTGGTTTCCATCAATCATTGATTTTTACGGTGGCCTTTCAAAAGGGGAACTCGGCATTGAACGCTCCCTCTGGGCTCGCTCAGGTGCTGCTGCGTTTGCTACAAGGAGGGAAATAGCCCCCGTAAAAAACAGAGGTGGCACCTTCATCAGAGAGGTGACGGGAGCCAGGAGAGCCGAGCAGAGAACCTGAAGGCACGAAGACATCTGAAACCTTCACCCACTGCATGGGACTGTAAATTCACTGTAGACAAGCTATGAAACTCAGACCTCCTTTCTCCCTGTTCCCAGCTCGAGCCACCGGATAACATCCCCCTCAACCATAAACCAGATGTTACATTCAAAAAGCAGCACAGAGAAGAGTGAAACGCACCAAAGAAATGACCTCCTGAAGCTCTGCCCCTTGGTGTGAAAACCCCAGAGCACAACAAGAAACAACCCCTTCGGTTTGCCTTAGGAAACCCAAATGTGCACCAGCAAAGGCAAATAATGTACCTGTGTCCCTGCAGCAGCACTTGTAAGTCAATCAGAGAGCAGCGTCAATACAGGGGTTTTCCAGCTGCAATGGAGAGACAGGGAATAGAAATGGCAAAATCAGGACTCGCTCAACCCCTCCAGCTCCAACACCCCCCATGTGGCTCCTCCGCTATTCCCAAATACACACACATACAGAGATGATTTCTAGTTAATGCTGAATGCTGTCCGACCTATCGCCATAGGAACCTGCGGATTTCTGTGGATGCCTTCCCTAATCTTAACTCCTGCACATTCTCTCACATTCCATCCGACAGGAATATTCTATTTCTTGTTTTCCTAAGGAAAAGAGTGAGACTTCCTCTGCCAAAAATGGTGCAGAAACGGCAGAATTCCCAATCCAACGTGCTGCTGACACTTGTAAAACGAAACAAGAACCTTTCCTCACTCATGTGAACAGTGAGAAGCTTTTTCCCTTAGATCCAGTCCTTCGGATTCCAAACACTTTGGGCTCCTTTGGGCTGAAATCCCTGCCTTGCTCTGCAGACAGCCTCTGACTGACCCGCAGCAGATGGAGCAGTTGGTTTTGTCGGGGTTCCTTGTGGCCACATCCACAGCCCATTCCACAGACTTGCTGAGAGGCAGCAAGGACGATGCTAGCGACCCACTGGGGATCCAGATCCCCTCAGATCAGCTGTGTCTGTGTGAACAACCTCCCCATGCCAGCCTGGGGTGAAAGCCATCCATGCACTGACCTGCACCACCAGCAGCAGCAATACACAGTCCCATTCACCTGCACAGAGTCCCAACAGCTCACCCTGTGCAAGAAGAAACTCATCCTGCTTTGCTTGAAATGCATTTGCACATATGCATAGTATGCAGATACATACACTGGAACTGATGGCACCAAGCCTGTCAGAGTTCAAGGAGCATCTGGATGATGCTCTTAGTCATATGGTTTAGTTTTAGGTAGCCCTGTGAGGAGCAGGGAGTTGGACTTGATGATTCTATGGGTCTCTTCCAACTTGAGGTATTCTGTTATCCTACACACACACACAGAGATATATATAGATAGATATAGACATATATATGAATTAATGCCCCAAAGCATAGGTTTGGTGTGATGGACTTGGCTGGCTGCTGGGTGCCCATCAGCCACACTCACTCCCCTCCTCAACAGGCAGAATATAAGATACAGCTCATGGGCTAAGATAAAGGCAGGGGACACCCCATGGCATCAAACCAGCACCAGAGGAGCACCCAGCCATGGCACAGGGGGGATGCAGCCCCTCTGCAGCCTGCATTGCCCCATAGTTTGAATGCCAAGCTCCTTTTACCAGCACTGCCCCGATACAAACCAGAAAGGACACAAGCGAGGCAGCACTGCTGTTTGTCCTCCAGTGACTAAGAAAATGTGACTATGATGTGATCAACCCTCATGAACGCATGTGAGGAAGCCTGCCAGTGCCTGCATTTGATTTCTTGCCTAAACTCCAGCCAGCTTAACACAACATCAGTTTGGAAGCCATAAAACACGAGACAAACAATGTAAATCAATGTGACCAGCAAAATTTAACAGGAAACAGGCTGTGCTCCTTATTTTCTGGATGGGAGAGCAGCTGGAGCAGCCAAGATTACCTCTGAAACTCTTTGCACCCATTTGGTTACTTGCAAGCAGGGAAAAGGCAGCTGAAAGCTAGTTTCATGTAATGTGAGGTTTGGTGTAAATCAACTGTACATGACTTCAAATTGGACAAAGGACAGAAAATTCCCTGAAAGAGGCAGATGAAATATGATGAAACTAAAAGAAGGGAGAAAAACCAAGTATCATAGAATCAGAGAATAGTTTGGGTTGGAAGGGACCTTCAAAGGTCACTTGGTCCAGCCCCAAAGTGATGAAACTGATGTCTGGAGATGCTGGGATTTACTGCTTATCCAAGGGCTGGCAGCCAGGGCAGCGGCGTGCATCGCCACAGGGGTAAATGCCTGTACTGTGGGGCTACAAATCACTGCAGCTCACACCTCTCTGGGTATTGCAAGGCAGGCAACAAGGCTGCAGAGAGCTCAGTGTCACTTCTCCCTCCAGCAGGTACATCCTCACCCAGCCGTGGTCAGTGCTATGCTGGAGGGTCTGAGCTGTGCTCACCAACAGCACCTGATGCATCGGTCCTGGGGGGCTGCGAACCATACCAGGGATAAAGCCAAAACATCCCAGTGGGAATGCTGGGAGCCAAGCACTGTGCTTGAAGAACAGGACTTGAGAAGCCATTGGGAGCAGCTCACAGAGCACCCTGCTGATAGAATCCTTCTCACAAGCCGATCAAAGTCCACTAAAACCCATTTCCATTCATTCCCCCCATCCCATTCCTTTACAAAGCTACTGCAAAACCCTGGCAGCAGCACCCCCCGCTGCTGCGTGTCCCTGTCCCCACAGGATAACACCCCGATAACGCTGCTACCACCACCACAGCTCCAAACGTGCAAACCCAAATGGGGTTTCACCAAAACCAGCCCCATGGAAGAGCATCCCTCTCACCCCTGCCCCAGCGGTGCAACCCCCAACTCACAGCACTGCTGAACTTCACCTTTTTAGCCTTAAATAGGCGATGCTGGTCCCTATGGGCCGTGCTGAGTGGCAGAGAGTGCTGGCTCCAGGCGGACCCCGTCCCTCCCACCGCAGCCACTGACCCCAGTGGGATCAGCAGTGTTTGAAGAAGGGCTCAGCCCGGAGCCTGGTTTCAGGCAGGTCGGGAGGGCTCCGAGATGCAGCTCAGGACACGCATGGGATCTTCCGCAATCTCTTCCTACCAGCTGCTATTTCTTCCCCACCCGCTTTTATAGGAGCCTGATAGCTCCCATTGGCTCGAGGCACACTTATTATAGTGACTACTATGACCCATTTAAACAGCATTAAATAATTCCTCAGTTCATTGTCCTGCAGAGATTAGTTACATATAAGCATATTTTAATGATTAACTATTGGGCTCTGCTGAGGCCCCAGCAAATATGCAGGATCCGCAGCCTCCCTCTGCCTGTCCTTCCGCTCCTGCCAGCTCCCTGCTTCATCACCAGCCCCACAATATTTATGGCTTTCCTTAGAGCCTCTGCTCCTGTCCTGATACAACCAGCTCAGCTGGCACTGGAGGGAAGGCTCCGGCTCCTGGAGCTGCAAAAGGCCAGGAAAAAGGCTGGGAAAAGCCCAAAACCCAGCACCCGGAGCAGCAGCAGTAGCTTTGAGAGGTTAAATCATGAAGAGGCAGCGTTTGTAGAATAAATTGTAGGTTTGGGGGCTGAATCGCAGGCTTTCTCAGTACACTGGTGCTAGAGATGGGCTGGGACCCATGGTCTGACCTCACTCTCCATTGCCCTGATGAATCCCAGCAAGATGCCGCAGGTTACCTGAGACAGAAGTCAGGGTTAGTGCATTCCTTGCCCTGGGCATTTCCTCACACACATTCCCACTTCTCAATCCAGCAGCAGCACAATCCAGGACTGGATTCACCTTTGGAGCTACTCCCAGCATCTGCGCACAAGGAAAGTGCATAAACCAGCAGCAATTGCTTGTCCTCACTATCCCAGTGGTCCTTATCACCCAAGACCCCTTCCCAAGCCACCCAAAGCACATCAGCCCCATGCAACAAGCCCAAACAGGATCAGTTGTATTCTACCAGCATAACATTGACCACTCATATGCTGCTCACCCCATCTCATCCCACCAAACCTGCTGGTTTCCAAGATGGGCAGCAACCATCTCACTGCGGACACCCGGCACGGATGGGACAGCCCCACGTGGGGATGAGTTCCATGTGGATGCACAAGGAACATTTTAGGGCCATTTCCAGCTCAACGCTGCAGTGTTCTGGTGAGGTGGTGACACACGGGCAGGGTGTCCTGCCCCACTCAGAGCAGCCCCACAGGGCTTGGGAAAGAGGCAACTTTGTGCGGAGCCCACACCCGGGGACAGGGCGTTGCACAGGAAAAGGGAAGATGTTTAAATTGGCCTGAAACGGCCCATTTCCCACTCACGGATGCTGAGGTGTGGGCAGCTCAGAGCAGCAGCGTCTGGGGGGTTCTATGGGCTTTGATAGGCGATGAAGGAGCAAACCTGCTGGGAGGAAGCACTTGGATCCCAGTAGGTTTCGAGTGGGTGTTTTCAGCGCTTCCTTTTCCCTCCCTCACAGCCGCCCTCTGGCTGCTGCATCCCTGGAAGCCTTTGGCCACAGTCTCCTCTAAGGAAACCCATCAGCAATTCAAAAGGGGAAAACAAAGTCTTTGCAGATGAAGCTGAAGAGTATAAAACCCCTCAACCACGTCTTGAGATGTTAAGTAGAGGATGGACATTTAAAGCTGCAGCCGGTGAGGCTGGGAAGGGGCTGGGATGGAGCTGGCCTGGGATGGAGGTACTTCAGCCAAGTACCCCGTGATGGGAGCCCCACTGTGGTAGCCCCAACCACTTTCCCCATGGGACAAGGGACACCAGGTGCCCAGCACATCAGGATGGGGACTGGGGAGGCATCAAGGTGTTCGTGCTGCTGGTTTCCCCCGAACCCCACCTCCTTTCTGCCCACTGGGGCATTTCAGAGCTCACCATGTCCTGCTGTGTATCCCTGTCCATCCCGAGCCCGTCAGATAGCTGAACACATCTAAATAACAAAGAAACAGCAATCTGAATCAGGTGATGAACCCTCTCAGCCCTGCTGCTGATAGAAGACCCCAGGTTCACCTCAGCTGATGCTCTCCTCTGGACAGACAGCACAGTTGTTGCTTTGGCAAAGCCCTTGAAAGCCCTTTTAGACAGGGCAAGAATCCCTCTAGTCCAACAGAGCACGCTTGTAAAGCCTTTGGCATGGCCCCAGGGGTTAACTTCCACTAGATATAAAAATACATGCATGTATAAACTGTGGGAAGGGGTGGGGAAGCAGAACCCCCTCCCATGCTCACCACTGAGCTGGGTAATTTCAACTGCTCAGGCTTTCTATTTTGGGATGTCTTTTACTTGCCAGCATCTGGTCTGTAACAAAAGGGATTTGCCTCCCCAAACTGACATCCAGCGACACAGGAGCCCCCAGGGACCAGCACGGGGCAAGGTGAGCCTCTGCTGGGAGCAGCGTGAAGGTGCTTGGTTACTCGTTTCCAGCTGGGACTGACGGTTTGAGCTCATCCCCTTCCTCCTGCACTGATACTCCAGGTTAAAGCCCTGCTCCATGGCTGCCCCCGCTCACGTTAAACATCACCACCCTGCGGCTGGGAAGCGATGGGGCACCCATTTAGGGGTGAGAGGTGGAGGGCTCGGCACACAGCGGGGTTGAGGGGGTTTGAGTGCAGCTTTTGGGGGTTGTTCTGTTGTAAATGAGCAATGAAGTTTCTGCCTGGCCACATAAAGCAGAGGCCGGGTGGTTCTTGCCAGCTCCTCTCTCACAGCCCAGCAGGCACCAAGCAGGAGCCCCGCAGGGCTGAGCACTAATTGCAAGCAGCAGTCGGGCAGTGAAGCTGCTCCTTAGGAGGAGCAGAAGGGGTGCAAGACACAAATAAGGGCTTTAAACCACAGCGAGCCTTTGTGCTCGGTGCTGAAGCTCAGCTGAGGGGACCGAGGGCACTGGTGCCACCTCTGCCACCCTCCCATGCTCCTATGAAGCATCACCCTTCTGCCTCCCCAGGCTGAGATGCTGGTGAAGAGCTGGCCAGAGGATGCTCCTTAACACCAGCCACAGCTCCTGAAAGCACTTGGTCCTGTTGGGACTGTTTGCAGCATCCCTGAGCGCTCCCTGCAGCTCCCTTCCCAGCTTCACTATGCACACCAAATCCTTCCCCATGACTCCTGGCTTCCCCATCTCTTCTCAGACGTTCTCTCACCCCACTTGGCTGGTTCTCAGGCCAGCTTCATTCTAATTATCTTTAAAGTTGAACAGCCTCCCCGCTACCTTTGATGGTTGTTTCTATAAACATTAAAGTTAATAAAATAAAGATCCTTAATGCAGAAGGAAATGAATTCAAGCAACATGTGCACGGAGACTCCTGCCTGTGGCAAGCAAAAGTTCTTGGGCCTTGAACTGTTTCCTAACTGCTCGCTGCATTTCAGTTGTGCTTTGGCTGCAGCCCCGTCTTTTTTTTCAGCACAAGCCTTTCTTTTTGCTCAATAAAAGCTTTGCAGCAGGATTCTTTCTGTGGGAACACAAAACATTTTCTCTGTCAACGTCTTCAGCAGCTCCAACCTAAACAACGCTGCCATCGCCTCCCTCCAGGATGCTGGCTGGATCCCAATCTGCGCCTCCATAGAGCAGCCCTTTGGAAAGGGGGGTAATGTGACCTTCCTCTCTCTGGGAAGGTTATAAAATATCATGGTTTTAAAGGGTACTTTGGGCTTCTTTATAGAGATCCCCTGGGCTCGTCTGGGGGAGTGTGAGGGGGCTGGATGCATCCAAGCTGCTGTTGGAGTATTTTAAAGATCTTTAACATCCCAAGGAGAACTAGTTCCCTGCTTGCCTTGACCCAAGCCTCCTCCCCTTTTACAGGATAGCACCCGGGAACAGGGATCCCAATCCCTGATTTCACACTGCAGCACTGGGTTATCAAATCGGTGGTGAGGAAGCAGTGCCCTTAGGGCAGGATGTCACCACCCAGCTGAAGACATCGCTCTCATGGGTGAGGAAGAGGTGCGATGCTCATCTTGACGCTCAAAGCTCATTCATCTCTTGATGGCTTTCCAGCTGCCTGCTCCCTGTCCCACTCCTCCCATGTCCCCAACATCAGCTCTACCATGGCATTCACTTTGGAACACAACTTGGGTCTTGCCTAATGACACTAACACCTTACTGATGCAGAAAGGCTGGGTTTGGTGTCCCCATGTTGCCCTTTGCACGCTCGCACTGGGATAGCACCAGGCGCTGCCCTCTCCATGTTTCCCTTGAGCCACAGGATGCTCCCACCACATGTGCCTGTCAGGAGAGCAATACCCATGTATGCCAGTTCAGGATCTGCTCCCACCATTGTGTTTTAAACTCAAGAGGAACCTGTGTAGTTCAGATTTCCTTACAAACATGACCCTCTGATTGCCATTAAATAACTTAAACTGCTGCTCTGCAAAGCATGACCTGTCCCTGCTGAAGGGATGCCGGCATGCCGGTGCTTGGCAGCCCACCCACAAGGGAACACTTCCCTTTGGCTCCATGGCTCGGCCCCATCCTCAGATTTGATCTTGCGCCCAATTCACGAGCACAGATGTTTTCATTAGAAAGTCACCTCCTCACAGCTCAGCTCCCCCTTACCTCTGCTGCAAGCGATGGGAAGGATGTGCAGTGTATGCAGGACATGCCTTCGTGGTGGGGTAACTCCCAGGGGTGCAAGGCTGTGATGTCTGGCAACTCGTCCTGTGGAATTCCTCACTTGACTCTGTGTAACAAGCTCCAAGCATTCACAGATATACAAGCACATGGTCCTGTCGGGGCTGGGAGCAGAGCCTGTGAGCATGGTGGACACACGCAAGTCCAGTGGGACAGGAGCACATCACAGCAGTGTTATGGGCACCCACACGCTGGTCTCAAAGCACAGGGAAAGCTGAGGGCTGCAGCCTAGTAAAAAGACTCCTTTACCTGTCAGGATGCACAAAAGGACTGAACAAGGCCTTGGGCACTGCTCCTGGTGTCAGCCTGGCTGCAAGCCCTGAGAAAGAGAGAAGAAAGAAGAGAAACAACCTCCCTAAGGCCAGAGGACAGTGGCAGAGCTGGCATTTGCTGACTGATCCCAGCTCCAAAGGCACTATGTAACCCTCCAGACAGACACCGTCCATCCTGCCACACCAGCTCCTCGCTCTGCATCTTCCACCCCAGCACTGCCCATCTGCAGGGAAGGAAATACTTCATTAAGGACAAAGAACTGACCTTTGGGAACAGCAGGAGCTGAGTGTTACTGCCTGCCTGGTCACTGTGTCACCCAGAAAGGACAATGGCTGTCGCTCACATTTAATGTAAGGCTGTATTTCTGTGGGGTGGTTACCCTGTGAGCATAAGTCCTTCTTGATTACAGGAGCATTTCATAACCACACATGCTCAGTGTATCAGTGAGGCAAAGCTCACGGGGGAAGAGGCTCTCTGTTATTTAGACCAAGTGCTACAAGCAAATAATCCAACAAGTTTTCAGGCATGAAAGATCTTCTGCAGTCTGTCTTTTGGAAGAGCCTGGCATCCCCTTGCTCTGGGAACCGGTAGCAGGAACAGGCTGGAATAGGCTGGTTATGGGTAGCAGATGGAAAATGAAGTAAGAAAAGTGGGAAAAGCCCCATCTCAGCCAGGCTGAGGTGCACACAGGTTCCCCCACCTCCCCTTCCCCTGTCAAAGCCCAAAGCATTTCAGAAGTCACTCAACAACAGTAGCTTCCCTGTCAAGACTGATGCTTTCAAAGCCGGTGTCCAAGCGCAGAGAAGCAGCCTTCATGCCTAGAAGCAAAGCATTTTCTGGGATGCAGAACGTGCTGTTTGTGCATTGCCATGGCAGAGCTGCCACCCCAGGGAGGCAGAGGCAGTAAAATATTTAGTCATAGACAATGCAGTACAGGGAGATTTGTGCATTTCAAAACCAGGATAACCTCAGCTGCGGTTGGGTTAACTCACCCGTGGCTTGACTCGAGGGGCCGAGCACAGCCAGCATGAGTGAGCGAATGGTTCTGTATCTCAGGTCAAATGTAAGGCAGTGAAGAGGCTCTGTGGATTAATTTGGCCTGTGGAACAGCATTAAGCAAAACTCAAGAGAAAACTGTTATTAAGATCACACTGAAAGACCACCTTATCCCAGCAGCATCCTGGGACGCATCCTTTACACTACACGACCCTCGTTTGGAACAGACTCAACTCACTGCCATAGCTGCAATGTGCAGGATGCACCCCTAACACAGAGCAACTTCAGAAACTCCGATTTCAGGCTCCAGCAACGGATGAAATGACAGGCACGACATAAAACCCTGCTGCCATCCTGGCAAGACTGTCCCTTTCCCTTTGCCACGTCCCAGAAATGAAGTATTTGCACCGTGCCAGAGCCCCAAAGCACCCACCAGCAAAGAGGCCACTGGAAAAGGGGACAAGGGAGAAACCCCCAACTTGCTGCCTTTCAGATCTTAAGGAGAGCAGCCTTTGCCTCTGTGCTGAGCAAGCAACCGAAAACATTCCAAGTGCACAGGGGCAGGGAAACCAGCCAGCCAGCAACACTGAAGTTGGAGATCACCCAGTTCAACCTCCCCGCTCACACAGGGTCAACCAGGTCTTTCCCCTTCAACCATCAGGTGGAAGAAACACATTTCCAGCAGGATGAAGAGCAAAGTATGACTCAAGCAGCCTGCAGCTCTCCCCAAGCAGCCTCCAAGACAGGTCTGGGACCAGCAGGAATTTGCTCCAGGACATGTGCTGACTGCTCTGCTACAACTCAGCTGTGCTCTAGTTACATTTCTTATTTCTTCTATGGTGTAATAGCTTCAAAACCATGTCCAGATTGGTTATTCGCCCTGTGTCAGGGTCTGCCAGGATTACAGCAGTGCAGCCATCCACCCCTCATGGACTCGGATGTGGCTGGTTTATCATTTTAGGGCATGATTCTCAAACGGTGCAAACCAGCCTGGCTTGGTCGACCTCTAAAACAAGAGCTTGTCTATGACCAGTAGAGCCTTTAGTAAGTAAAGTTATCTACGGAGCTGTTTATGACAGAACCTCCTTAAAAACATTTGTATAAACACTTTTAGACACTCTGTAGATGTTGCTTAACCCCTTCAGCACACTGAGACGTTCGGCTTGAATGCCGCTCCAATGTCCTGCTTTAATGTTGTTTAAAGGCATGCTTCAGAAGAAAACCTGCTTCAGAAGCAAGCCAAACCTCCAAATGTTGGGGGTTTGCTTTTTCTAAAGAAGACCACACACCCTTACCTAGTGAACACACCACACAGATAGAAACAAAATGCCTTTTGCTCCCTGTGAGACAAGGAGAGCTTGTCAAATTCTGCACTTCAATGGCGGGCAGCAGCCCCTGTGCAGCCCTGACATGGTCTGACCACCACCAAAGCTGCTTGGCTCATTGGTAGGGATTTCCTGGATCTTCTACAAGATTCCCCATGGACATTTCTGTTCCCAGTATATCCATTTCCCAGCTCCGGAGCACAGCCAGGTAGGAGCTCCTTCTCCTCCCATAAAACAAATGCTGTAATAAAACTTCTCCAGCAAGGGCTGCCAAACAAAGCCTAGGGCAAGCTGCCCTTCTTGGGCTTGAATTTATGAGAAGAGGAACCCTGGGTATTTAGAAGTATCAAAACAGGAGAGGAATTCTGGCAGCTCATTCCCTCTTTCTCTCAGAGCAGTGCTGAGAGCACAGGAGCTGCCCTAAGCAGAGCTGTCAATGAGCCAAGAGCCAAACATGCAATAGAGAACAAACATGAGGAACACGTAAGAAATAAGCTAAAAGCAATATAAGCTTCTTAAATATCAGAAAGGGAGGAGTACTCTGCCCCTCTGTTCTTGATACTAGGGACCAACCTTTGAAGCGCCCAATACACACGTATGCTTTCTTGTACCCATGACACATCAGAAGGCCACCATCTCTTCATGTCATCTTCTCTCCTTCAAGAGAATTAGAAGAGTATATTTACTGTGTTAGGTAACTGATTAGTTAACAGAAAGCAGCCCTGGAGAGAGGCAGATCTGTCATGTAAGACCCAGGACACTGGAAAGATGGCATCACATAAGCAAGATGAGACATTTGCTTCCCATAAACCATTTTTGAGTCTTGGCTTTCCAAAAAACACACCTTAGGGTAAGCAGCACAACATGAACCCCCTCTCAGCACCACAGCAATTCCTCACCTGCGCTTACAGGAGCAGAGAGCACAGACAGCACGTTTAAAAATGATTTCTTGATGTAATGCAGATGTCAAAATCCCAGAACCCTTTAAATGTTCCTTAGAATTGCATTTATAGGGAACTTAGAGTTTACGTCCCTGAACTGAGCCTGAACGAGCTGCCCATGCGTTTGCACAAGTTTAATACACGTATCCATCTGGAACTGATTTTGATGACAAGGTTAAATACAACAGCAAGTTCTTGTATCTTATACAACACACACACAGAGCAGAGGACAACATGGATGCTGGCAAAAATCCATCCCGATAACAAATCAGCAACTCCCAAGATGGAACATCCAGCTTCAGAGATCTGTTAAAATATTCTTGCTGGCTAAAGGCACTTGCAATCTGGGTCCATCTGCTTTTTGTAAGCTTAGAATGTGCTTCAGTAACTTCATTTTAGAAGAAGACAGCAAAAAATGTAAATACATGCAGCCCAAGGCCAGAGCATGTCAAACCATGACTGCTATGGGTAAAAATGCTACTTTTGGAATTAATTGCACGTCAGTCTGTGCTCTGATCTACTTATCTCTTTTGTTTTGCTGCACATTTAGAGAGAAAAACGCATAATGATGTATCATAAAACTCAGCAAGGACTTCTCCCTCTAATACTAATACACTTCCCCAGTGAAAACACAGCTTTAGTCTCCAGCCTTGGAATGCATTTCAGATAAATTATCTTTAAGAGGTAACAAATATATTTTCCAATTATTTACTCTCCTCTCCAAACATCAAAGCAGCTTAAAATACCGTGGAAATGTGTATCACAAATCCCCCAGACACTGGAAGTTATCTCTCCCTTTCACACACAGCTCAGAAAGCATAAATTCTTTGTCTAAAACCACAAAATAAAACCATGACAGAAGCAAAGAAGTGAGATATCCTGATCCAAACTCTTATATCTTGTCTATAAGATTTAAAATTCCCAGGATACACTTTAAGCTTTATTTCTATTTCCAGTACGTTATAATTATAAAAGAATGGTCTGCAGTCATCGTATAAAACCAGTGCCATGTATAACTCATGACTTTATGTATATATATGTATACTACCCAAATGATTTATTATAATCATCTATGCTTTCAACATTAAATACTTGATCCTGAAACCTTCAGTCAGACAAAAGCTCAGTACACAGAAAATTCTGCTTTAACCAGGACTGATTCCCATTCTTCCAAACCAGCTTAGGACTCCAGTGTTGACTCATTCATTTATTCCATGGTCACGAGCATGTTCACAAGACTGTGACTTGTCTATATATAACTACTGAAACAAACGTTTGAAGGGAAAATACACACCTCACCTAAATGCTCTTCTAAGAGCCTTAACATCTGAGTCCAGAGCCTCAGCTGCTGTAAACTGGTCCAATGCAGCTGATTATGGTGGCAATACGCTGATTTAGCTGATGATCTGGGTAATTCTTTTATCAAGAAATGCCAGACATACTTGAGAACAGCTACCCTTCCAACAGATCTTCTCACTTGCACGACGCCAACAGCCTACATGAAATTGTCTGGCTAGATACCAAGCAGTTTTTGTACATTATTCTCTGTTCTGGTCACTGAAAAGAGCCCTCTTCACAAACAGCTCCACAAGTTGGCTTTGTATTGTAGAATGCATTCTGAAAACCAGTTGGGCAATTCAAAAACATATGAAAGCAATTATAATTTTAGCACTGCTGCGATAATTAAAACAGTGCCAGCTGTACATGAGCCTATTCAAATGTACAGCTGTTACACGGGTAATGGAAAAAATACAAAAGCTTCAGATTCTGTGCCCCATAATTTCTCAGACGTTACAAACTCCGTTATTACCACCCCTGTTTATGACAGAACGCCAAAACAATAGTGTCCTTTTCCATGCTTTCTGGTAAACAATTGGTTCCCTCATCACCTCCGAGTCATAAAAATTGTAACATATTTTATAATGATGTCCAATACAAGATGAAACTGGTATCAAGTAAAAACCAGAAAAATATTAGCTGATTTTCTTTTGCTGAAATTCCTGCCAGCTTTGGTCTAGATGCCTCCTAAGCTTGGTCACTTTTGTCTTCAGTTGCCATTGCTGAGTCTCTCTGCTGTTCTTCAGGATCCCCTGGAAGAATACTGGTGACTGTCTGCAGAAGTGACTCAATCTGCTCTTCTGTGAGCCTTTCCTCGCTTTCTTCTACCATCTGCAGGTTAAAAAAAGCAATGTATTGTAATCATTAAATCCATACTTCCTTCCTTGTTCTGAATCCAAACAGAAGGATTCAACTAATTGGGAAAGAGACTTCTCAATGGATGCAAGACATAGTCTGAACTCATTGCCAAAGCATTTTACAAAGTGGAACTCTTACAATATTCAAAAATAAAGACGGAAGAGCTCCATTGTAAACTGCTACAATTGGCACTCCATAATGAGACCCTGCTGGCTTTACAGCAAGCAGAATGACACACTGAGAACAGACTTTCCTCCCTGGTTTCTTCTAAAGCTTCTCTCATCCATACACATCCATACCTTGAGTCAGGCTTTTCATTTAGCTCATGTGCAAACCTACCTTCCAGGCTGATTCTCCTAAGTTCCTGTGCTTTCATGTATGAACTGAAAGGAGATGACAGAGAGTGGTTAACTGAACCTTTCTATCTTATCCTGCACCTAGACTATAAGCAATCAGGCCATAAAAGAAACCACCTCATCCTAAGCAGCTATGCTTTATTGGAATGTGCTTAGATTGTGAGATTCCTGAAGATAAAGGCATAGAAAAGCTCTGAGAAACACAAAACATGCTGTCACGAATCAACAGTGAAATTCCCTACAATTAATTAGGGCCCTACTCTCACTGTGGAGCTGTGGGAACTCTTATATCACTGCTACCAGTTAAAACAAGTGCCCTAATTTATAGGCAGCTGTTAAAAGGAAAAGCTTGTCAGAGGCCTGGAAAAGCAAGCCAAAAGAACTCTTCAAACGCAAATGAAACCAATTAGGATTGTGGGGTTTGAGATTTTCTTTTTTATACAAAGTCCTTTAGAATGTCCTTTGAAGCACAGTGATTTATATTAAATTATGATTCTAAGTCAATGCAGTTTTAATCAGTTCTAGCTATAAATTGTCAGCTATTCAGACACATCTTTGCCTTGTAAAAAGCAGAGTGGTATATTCAATTAACTTTTTTTTTTCCTCTTCAATGTCCTATGAGCCCTCTTTGCACAATCTGATCATCTTTCATCAGCCATTATCCACAGATACTAGAATCCACTCATGTAGCACAGGCAGAGAGTGAATATCCATTTGCAAATGACTGTTTCTGGGGTCTATCCCGATCAAAGGATGAAATTCTCTGTGGAGTGGCTTTCCAAGTACTGTTAGTTCAAGAACTACTGTAGGACCCTGGCTTGAAAAGCAGCCCTGGCTCTCATTACCACCAGCTGCTATACTATACATTGTGCATTAGAATATACTAAAAATCCTCCTAGTATTACCCTTCTGTGTAAGCAACTGCTGCAGCTACTGAAGTGCTATCAGGTAATTGCCTGCTAGGCTGCATTTCAGAAGTGGTCATCTCAGCAGCTTGACTAGCATACCTTGGAGCATCAACAATATACAATCCAGTACGCTGCAGTGTGTGCATACACTCCCCGTTGCCAGCACTGCTGACAAAGCCTCTACTCTGTAGATGATCCATGCTATTAAGTTCTGTAAAGGATTATCAGCCTGATTTTTGGACTGGGTTATTAATTATTGTTCCATTGAATTTGAAAGGTCACAGTCCCATAGCAGCAGGAGCCATACAAGGAAAAAGCCCACATCCTTTGGACAGGCAATATCACTTAAGGCAGGATGCTTTTTCTCTTAGTGGCCAATGTCTCCCACATTTATTACCGTCCCACTGGTTTCTGATCTTCAGAAAAATGGCCCTTTGCCTGGTTTAGGTTTGATTTATTGGATCACATGAAGTCAGACCCTCTTCCCCATTTAAATTTTATCCTTCCCTATATATCTCCTTCCCATTTCTCCTCCAAACACTTTCTCCTTTAGGTGCTTGCTTCAGGTACCTAGTAGCCACAAGGAACTTAATCAGAACTCAGATTGAGAATAGAGAGTGATTTCTAGATCAGCATCAACTCTCTCAACTCCTGCATTTAAGGACACTTATATGAGTGTCTAATAACTGCTTCTGATGTGCTCCTCAGTGCCAAATGAGTAATACCCCAGCTCCCAGTATGAACAACCATGTTGGTGTCATTTGTACTGGCTGAACACAGAAGCCTGCAAGACTGACAAACAGCGGATACGACTCAGGACATCAACAGATGAGCTCTGGTGGTTGCTGTGACAATTTAAGAAACCATACTTTACCAGAAAGTTGATGAAAGGAAACAGTCTCACATGTTTCAGATGCTTTGACGCTGATGTCTCATTAAACTGTTGTGAAAAGCATCTTTAAAGAAAGATGCCAGATATTGCACTGAGGAGTGGGTAATGTAGCTCCAAATTTCCTTCTGTTGACAGATCCACAGCCTCTGCCAGAGGGAAGTGGTAATTCCTTAAACTACTGCAGCAAACTCATCAGGGGCTCACCTCTCGGGGCCTCCGAGCCACGCATCCTCACTACCAGCTCCCACACCAGGAACTACCAATAGTCAAAACTCTGTATTAGGCAGGATGGACAACTTATTATTCCAGTTGATGCTTCAGCACTATTCTGCTGTGATACTAGTCAAGAGTTCAAAGGATCAAACGCATAAGCTATAAAAATCAATTTCTTTCACTCCTCAGGGAAACAGCCTGAGCAGTGATTTATGAAACTTGAGCAATTAGGAAGCAGCAAAGCAAGATGCCAAAAGGAAAAACACAAAGTTAAGCACAAAGAGCACGTAGATAGGGGCAAATGAAACTGCCCAAAAGGAAAACAGATCAAGGGAAAAAGAAGGTCACTCAGAAGCTTATTCTAGATTCAACAGATATTCAGTCTTCTGATTTATAAGACAAAATACCTTTCCTATTGATAGTACTAGGAAATAATGATACTCAGAAGAGAAATTAAGTGTATAAAAAAGCCTAGGAGGCAAAAAGAAACAACTGTATTCAAGTACCTGCTTTTCCAGCAAGAATCTTAACCAGCAGAGGAAAAAAAATCTATCAAAAAGCCTTGCTGAGCTCTAACTTGCAATTGGCTGACAGCGCTCAAGCAACAGCTTCAAACCATGAGCAGTCAGGAATGCAAAGTTTATACTAAGGAAAACAAAAATGCTAATGTTTTTAGTAAGTGTATGACATAAGATGTTTATATTGGCAGTGCCACAGGCACCAAATGGAAACAGATTATCCTCACAGATGATGCCATGTGCTAAGTGTAGGGTATCGTCAACCAAAGCTCCACCGAACTGTGAGTTTGCAAGATGCAGGGATTTGTGCAAGTAGCAGAATTGGACAGTGTTATAGTAACACAGTTGATAGATAAAAAGCACTTATTATAGATAAATGCTTGTCTTGCAGCATGAGGTGCTGCAAGACAAGCGTGTCTCCTCATGGCTGAGAGCAAGGATTTGCTTGAAATGATCACAAGAGACAGGCAGTAAGCCATGTCAGCTATGCTGCTGCTTGTAATAAATAATTCCTGAGCTGTTACAGCTTTTCAGCATTCAAGTCTATACTATCCCAAAATAACTGCAGTGTTTTTGTAGCGAATGCTATAGCATACCAATGCCATTCATACATATACACAGTGTTTGCTAGGAAATGGAACTATGTGGTCAAGATCAACTCAGTCAAGTGAGACCTCCATGACTTCTTATTTCACTCAAACTTGTAACAGTTATTAAGCTATCACTGCAATGTATTACTACACTACGCAATTTTCCCATTTCATTTCCCCTCCAGCTAATGCTCTAAACAATATAATCGACAAGACAACTACAGAAGGAAACAGGAAAGCTTTGCTAGTAATTGGCACACAATCCTTACAGCTAAAAAAGGGAGGCACATCCCCCTGCAGCTAAGACACACTTCTCAAGCCTGAGTACCTAAAGTTGCTTCTTTATCAATGAATGTATTGACAAAAACAGCCAGATCTTCAGAACTGTGGAATATACACAACACACTCATAAGGCAGCTGAAGCCCCAGTACTGCTCACCTTTGAGAGCAATGATACCTGTATTTAAAAGTCTAATAACCAATTTTCCACCTGCTTAAGCACCTCATAGCTACAAGTGTTAAGCCATAGCTTATGTATTGATTTAATTTCAAGTATTCAGGAAGTCCAACTAACTTCACTGGACTTAAAGCTTAAAATCAGGCAAACATTTATTAAATGGAGAATACAGCAAGAAAACGATGCCAATTCTGTTCTCTCCACAGTCATCTACGGATGGGCTTCCTAACACAGCAAAATGAAACACGCATCCAACATCCATCACTGAATGTTGCTACATGAGAATGAAAAGACAAATCACTTGCCAAGTGTGGAATTAAACACTGGCAGATGCCTTGCACAGTAACATAACCGCTACTGGGAACCAGAGCTGGGCTTATTAAAGAAATGTGTATGTGGAATATTTTAGTACCACACAGCCTTTCCCAGCTGCACATTTTAAGAGTAGCTTTTTTTAATGGAGCACTATGTATGAGTTTCTCAGAGGAACAAAACAACCATAATTACCAAATCAGAACGCAGTAATAGAATTCCATTAAGCAGTAAGTCCCATTAAAACCTGCTGATACATTCTCTGCTAGTTCTCAGAAGCTTTGGAAGACTTCATTTATGGAGCAGGTAAATCAGAAAAGCCCAGCTCGCCTGACTACCAAGCTAATTCCAAACATTAAAATGTTTGTTCCTAAAATAAATGTGCAAATCTGCATGTTAGTAGTGCCCTGTACATATGTAAGCACAAAACATGAACACAGACAGACAACCATGCATACTTGCTCCTTTTTTACCAGTGAAACAAGGACAATCATCTTAGGAACATGCTTTCACTAATTATAGCCATCCCTTGTCTTTTCTGCTTACCCAAATACAAGCAAAAAGACTCCCCCATCCTCCCTGTGCTCCTTTTCAGCTTTCATTGCTAACTTTTAGTCTCTTGAGACATGACAATGCACTGCTAATTAAGAAGCATAAATAAAGCCACACTAAAGAACCCTGCAAAGTTCTTTCAGAACTGAGAAACTGTCTCAAGGATAAGTAATATTTGATGGGTAACAAACCTCAGCATTACAGAAGAGAACAACCTGTGGGTTAAGAGCTATTGTTTATTTGAATGCTAAGCTAAAAGCTCTATTCAAAAAATAATCGGTGAAAAAGAGGGTTCTGATCCCTTCCAAAGCTATCAAGCACATAATTGAACTCCAGTGTAGGAGATAGGTATTTTATGAGAAAATGACTGCTATTTCCTCCTTTGAGCAGTAATTTGAAATTGTTCAGCAGGAACATGCTCGTAGAAAAAAAGGCACAGAAAAAAAGAACTCAAGTTAAAGACTGAATGATTGGATTAATGTCCCTCAGAGATAATTAACCAAGTATGCAAAGTGGGGAGCAAAATATATTGTCGAGAACGTAAAATGATTAAATCCCCTTAACGTCTTTCGTTTCCACAAGGATACTTTACATTCTTATTTTTCATTCAACAATAAAAGACCATTTGTCAGGCTGGTTATGCAGAGCACGTAAGATGTGGTACCAAGCTCTCCGAGATGGAAATCGAGTTTTCAAAAGCACAGAATTGAAATCCACTTTTCCATTCAGAGAGGAGAATGTGGAGCAATTTGTTCATTAGAAAAGATGATGTTTAATCTTCAAACCCATCACGGTTCAGCATTAAGTAAAGCTGGCCCACTGTCATGGTTAGATGAGCGCCACTGTTTCGTTTGTTGTTCCTCCTTTGTGAATTGAATCACTGCGCTGGGAACAACATATGTTGAAGATTAAAACAGGAGGTCAAGATAGCTGCAATGTGTACAGTGTTTTACCCTGTGGGGTATGAATTAGAATTTCATGCTCCTTTTGTTGCTATTGTTGTTTGAAAATAAATCCTCACACACAGTCCAGAAAAGACAAATATGAGCAATTACAGCGATTTATGCATAAAGATTTACAAAGGAACTTGAGATCAAAAGATCACAACATAAATTTGCCTTTTAACTCAAATACAATTTTATCAAAACTGATTTATAGTTTGCATGCAACAAAAGACAGAGAATTTTATAGAAGGGAATAAAACCACAAATAGCTGGAAAGGCAAAAAAGCAACAAGCAGTAGTAAATATAACTATCCTCTCACATCAGCTATTAAAAGCCCATGAGATAAACCTGACTCCGTTCCATGGACAGGCAGCACTGAGTAAAAGTTTGAGACATCAAAACTATTAAAGTAAGTGAGAGACAGAGATACAGCTTGTGTAGCATTTTGTTTAAAGCTTTTAAGACTGATTTGCCTACATTAGATGAAGTGGTCAGAAGCCTTCATCATCATGTATTTCTGATTCAATCCCAGGAGCGACTCAAAGCTTTTCAGTGGCAGGGGAAAGTTTGATCAAAAGAGAATCAAGGTGATTTGAGACCTAGTATTCACTTCTCTGTAAGCTGTCTCTCATTCATCAACTGCAGTGAATTGACTTGCCTGCATGAAATATGTGAATGGGTAATCTTCTCTCTATTGACACCAAAGAAGAAAACACTGGTAGCCTCCAGTGCTCTGCATTATTTTATACTCAAAGATGCTCAGAGAAGACAGGGTTTGTGTGTTCAAAAGAAGCTGCACTGCTATAATCTCTTTCCTCAGTCCTTACCAAACCCCAAAATCATTCAAGGCAGCAATCAAACAGCAAAACCATTTCCTTGCTCCTAGTCTCTGTATTTCACTAACAAAAATGGCCTGCAGTTTCCTAGCAGTTACTGCACTCAAAAGACTTTGATGTGCTTTGATGAAAGAGTAAACGTACAGCACTTCTGGGGAGGCTTCATTTAACACAGTGCTAACAGTCCAGTCAACCGAGATTACTGTAACACTAGTTCTGGAGAAAGTTGCCATGGCAATTACAGGGGCATCACAATGGAACAGAAGTAACTGCATCCCTAATACTTCCATGACGATACAAATTCAGGTTGGTCCTCAAATGTATGAATATTATAAGCTGCTTCTGATCTTTAGAGAAGGGTTACATATAAGTAACGGACATCAAACTTAAATCTCTTATCTGTATCCTGCAGGTTTTCAGCAATGAATTTTATCTAACCTTGCTTGACATTACAAACCTTGGAATATCTGAAGTACGACACTCCACGGAAACCTGATTTCCAACATAAAGGCCCAAATTTTCTTACGCTTGCTTCCTGGACTCCAAATGTGACACAAGAACAAAACTACTTTCAGTATTTTATGGCTAGGTAAGATTATCAGGAACAAGGCAGGATGATGAGGAGAGGAGGGAAAAGACAGACAAAACCACAGAGTCACCTGAAAGCAGCTAAAGACCACTGAATTGAAAGAAGGGGAAAATAGACCATATATGGCCTATATGGGAACGTAATAAATTTGTCTCAGCATATACAAAGGTATGAGACAGGCTCTCGATCATCGCTCTTGACTAACTTCCTAAGCAAAACTCATGAAGCCTTAATGCTCTTGGTTGGGCTGATGATTGACACTGATCTCCTCAATCACAAAACACAGTATTAACTCCTCAGCTAGAAGCATTCTTTTATGAGATGCCTTCAGCATTATAATTTCTACTCCCTGGCTATGAAAGAAAAATAGTCCTACTGGTACCGCTTTAATCCTTCCCTTTTTTGCAGCAAAATTTGATCCTGTTGCTACACAGTTTGGTTTCAGAATAAGATTGTAAACAGATGGTCTTAATGGAAGAGATATTTACTAAAAGAATATCCTTATTATAATAACCTATTACCACAGGATTTTGTTTTCCTAAGGAGATACTTCAGAAAATATAATCAGCTATTTTTATCTAGCAACAATCCCTCTTTACATCAGAATTGTGCTTAACAGATTGACAATGGCTATTTTCCATCCAAAAGTCTGTTTATATCCATTTCTCAATCTGCACCACTGCTCAAAGCTCCATATCAGTCATTATTTGATCCTTTTTAGTGCATTTGGTTTTACTGTAACATAAAAGCCTGCCATCAAAACAATCAGGTTATCACAGTTGTCAAAAAATCAAGTACTTGATTACAGAGCAGCAGCAAAAAGACTCAGGCTAAATACATTCTTAGTTATAATACCCTAACTAACCTTTAATGACTGCACTGGGCATTTTCACTATGTGACACTAAAGCAAACAGAGGTGGAGAATCTGTCTGAGAGAAAGATGGGCAAGTCTCTAAGGAGGTCTCTGAGAAGAGGCAGAGTGGATTTGCAGCCATGAATGTAAAGATGTGCATAAAGGGATACATTCAATCACTGACCGTAAGAAAGTAATTATTCAATTGATCTTCAAGGTTAAAGCTGCTTTCATTTAAGCTCTGAACAGTCAGGAGCATTGTTACTTACCAGCTGTATTTCAACTGCTGTCACAGGCCTGTGGTTAAGCAACTGGAGCTTTTCTGCCCTGTTTAAAAGCAAAGCGTAAAACAATCCGCATTACTATGTAATTTGAGGATCCCCTCAAATGACTGGGAAGATGCAAACACATTCCTGATAACTTAGGGGTGAAACACCACTGCCAAGAATAATTCTGACTGGGTTTGCAGTGTGGTTTCATTGCCATGATAATTTGGGTATTTTAAATACACTACTTTCTTATGTGTTTAGACATACTGCTACTTCTGCCTCTAGTCTAAGGTGGCAAGATCATTACTGTACGAGCATTAACTAACATGCACTGTTGCTTTGTTAAAAGCTGTATGGAAACACTAAACAACTTGTTAAAATGTCACACTCTTTTGCTGGTTTAACATACAAGTGACAATTCATTGATTGACAATAATTCAAACACTTCTCTTTACCTGTCCATTTACAGTAACTCAGACACTTCTGATCTCCTGTCCATACCCTAAGGCAGACGAAAAGCAATTCAGATTTGCAGTCCCGTGCCTTTAGCACAAAAGCCTTTCAATCAATATTAACTTTTGTTTTGACTTAGGTATGAACCATGTCGCATCTCTTTTTAATAGCTCAAATTCCATTCTCCTCTGCCTGCAAGGGGGAGAAGTCAGTAAAACTTGTCTGACTTTGGTAGTTAAAACACAAAACATTCCAATACTCCAGAGAGACAGACAGGGTAGCACCGCTGAAGCCAGTGGCAAAACTCCTGGTACATTCAGAACCATCATTAAGCTCACCCATCCTCACTGTTTTACTGGATTCATTTTAACCAAGCAGCTATTAGCTCTACTTTCTCATCAAGAAATCATGACTCACAAGTCCATTTAAACACTTTGATCATTCAAAGAAATTAAAAGAATGGGTATGAGAGAAAATATTTCATTGACATTTAAAAAGCTCTCTTCTTTTTTCATTTTTATTTTGAAGACATGATCAAACAAGTATGTTCATTAAATTCAAACCACAACATTCAGGCAATAGCTCTGAATTATTAATCTTAAACCCTACTTAAATACAAATAAGTCTAAAACCAAAGTAAAAAACCAGCTGTCATATGCCAGTAATGCATATTTCATTCAGTTCAGAAGCTCAAAACACTGACCACATAATAGCAGCATGTCTAATGCTGGAAGCTGATCTTTGTGTTTCAGTACAGAGAAGCACAATACAACACTGCTAAAGCTACAACAGATGTGTAAAAGGGTGTATGAAACAGTAAGAAATGCAGTCTTATAATAAAAACATACAATTAAAGTACAATAAGAAGAGGTAAGAGGAAACTTGAAAGGATACTGGGGGATAGGGAATCTTGAATTATTATTACTTGATATACAGCCTTTCCTAGCAGTCATCTATTTTTTATGCAGCACATCTTTATTGCACACATTCACACGTTGAAGTGAGAAGTGACAGACAGCATGCCTGAACTGTCTCTGGTACAGTAGTAAGTTACCATTCTGAAGAACTAAAGCTTGGAATTTATTATTATTTAAAGGGCATCTTTAATGCACATTTAAACTGTTTCTGAAGAGCATTACCCTGGTTTATTGGACCTGTGGGTGGTTTAGAAAGGAAACTGCACAGCTTTCAAGAGAACACAGATCTCTCCCACGCAGGCGTTTACAACCCACAGGTCAATGCCTGTGTGTCTGGAGACACTTCAGACGTACTGTCCCATCTCATGTGGCCTCCGACACTGGCTGCCCTTGAAACCTAATTCCAGCTCACAGCTTGTAACGCCGTCAGGCACATCAATGCTTTATCATTCATGTATGCACAGTGGTGCATGCTCAAAGACCAAGGTGCTTGCACTCCTCAGGAGAGGCCTTTGCCAAGCACACGTGTACGTGTTGAGACCGAACGTAATACTTCAGAAGGCACCAGGCTGACACCCAAAGAATAAGGCCCTTCATTTATCCACTCACCACACTGAACGAGCAGCACTCACATTTTCCTGGCTGATGTCTCCTGAAGGAAAAATCCTGTATTACCACAGACTGGATGATTTAACAGGCCCTCTTCAGCTAAAATGTCCATGATTTCAAGTGATGGGAACAGGACTATGGGGGACTGTGGCTCAGGGAAGACAACTGCTCTGCTGATGGGCTTTGTTACACCAGAGGGTTTTGTGATGTGTATTCAGAGCCCTTAAGAACAGGAAACAGCTCCAAAGAGATGACTTGGTTTTAGATCCAGCCTGCGGGTAACAAACCCAAAATCCTAATAAAAGAAGAGTTTGTAATTGTTCCACCTAATCCCTGAGCCATTGCCACCATTTGTATAAATGCTGGGAAATCATTTTGATCGTGATGTTCAGCTTCAAAAGAAAAGCTTGTCATTTTTTAATGCAACATTTGTGAAATATTAACAACTCAGAAGAGAGAGCTCCAAGGATTCCCCCTATATATTCACTTGCCATTAAAAAGTGTACATAATTGAACATCTTCGATTTACATTTACTTTACAAATGTACCTATATTTTTACTCTCTACATTTCAAAACTGGAGAGGGGGGTAAAGAATTAAAACTTGCACAAAGGAGGGAAAAAGGGAGAAAACCTCCATTGTGATAAACCACAGAACAGTTCAAAATGCCTGTTTAAAAATGAGCTCTAATATTCTGGGTACCACCCGATCCTTTGAATCTTCTTTCCTGCTTCTACAGAACCACAACAGAAGATGTTTCTCAGTCTTCATAAAAAGCCTGCAGTGAAGTGACATCTGGCATGTGGATAAATGCAGATTTCACCTCAATTTCAGATTTCACAGTTAAAAGACTACTTGGACATTGAGTTTGCCCTCATTTACTTGTGTGCATTGTACAAAGTAGGAAGGATCATGATTCCCATTTATCCCCATTTTACTGACAGTAAGACTAAGGGAGAACAATTAAGTGGTAAGTGCTTTAAAGGTGTTGGGTTTTGGAGGTGTAAGAGCGGAGAAGAAATGTGGTGTGGGAGAAGGAAAAGGAAGCCCCTTAAGAGAGTACAGGGCGCCAGATGTTTCTATGTTCTTTGAGGCCTCCACTAACTCATGCTGTGAAGGAATGCATGCTCATGGCCTCTCTCCAGACCTCCTCCTTCATCTTGGGGATCTTGCAGTACCCCAAAAAGGATCTGTCCTTGCACTCATGAACTGTAAGGTGCAAAAATACAGGAAGATGCCGGGGAGAAGGTTCTTTGTGTCAATTATAGTATAAACCAGTATTTAAAGGCAGTGACTGTAGTGACTACATTCTCTATTCCCTCCTGAGAAACTGTTTACATTTTCCTCACCCTCCTGTTAACAGCCCCCTGGCAACACAGGGTTCGGTCTTAACTTCTGAATCCTGTGATTTTACAGACATCACAAAGGAATCAGAATTAGCTCGGAGAGCCAAATTTATTAGATTGCTTTGGATCTGGAGAATCAAGCATGAATGCCAAATATGTTTCCATTGGTAGGAAGCAGCGAATACACCTCCTCTGTTTTCTCATGCTAACCACTTCTATCTATTCGGCAGCTTGACCATTACAGCAAGACACTACTAAAAGCATGGCTGAGTTTAACACTGAACCAAGAGCACCACTGTTGGCTGGTTTATTGTCGGAAAGATAAGGTATGGGTAACTGCTGCCATTTCCTACTGTCAGAAGTAATGAAGGACAGAAAGAAAACCTTAATGTTGACAGGAGACAAAGTACTGAAATCCTTTACACTAGAACTAAAATTGAGAGGTCATTTAAGGAATTAATGAGAGAAAGAAACACACCTTTGTGAAACTGTAGCAAAAGACATCACTGCCATAAAAGCAGAAGTCCTAATAGAGCTGGGTGAAGACTATTAAAGATCTCCTGGCCAATTCATCTGAATGAAGGCATGAAAGGTTTAATGTTTTTTCCCCAAGAGCTTGGAAACTGCCTGGTTCTGTGCCTGGAGCACTTGACAGAGGCACAGAAGCTGCCTCTCAGGTGCTGGCTTTCAATGTTATTTGTTTTATGGTCCCTGGCCAGGCATATGTCCATGCCTCAGTTTCCAGACAGCTAAAACAGAGACACTATTTTCAGCTCTCACAGGAGAGCCAGGAAGATATCTCCTTGTAAAACACCTCCCCCTCCTCCCAAAGCCCTATTTATAGACTTTCACATCCACTGTTTAATGAATTCATAACTGTATACAAGTTTCTCACTGCACTGCACACTCACATGCCACTTCTCACATCAGAGCCTTTTCAAACAAGTCATTCTTCACTTCTGCAGCAAGCCATATCCCAATCCTATCCTATAGCTCCACTGCCTCTCCAGATAAAACATATTATTTGACTTTTACTGAACCACACATAAGAGAGAGATTCTCTTATTCTTGTTTTCCAAAGCAGTACCTTTGAAGTTTATTTCCAACAAAACTTCAGAGCCAAATAAACAGGCTCAAAGAGCCATATCATGCCTCTGCTGAAGAATGCAAATCTTACTTATGCACAGCTATTTTACAACACATAGAACTCCATCATGTTTAGCGCTGAAAGACTACTGGCAGAGCAGTAAATAACAGAAATAAGTTAAACCAAATGACACACATGATGTGTCATTGGGTTTAAACCAACCAATAAACCAACCAATCAGCGCAACTGTTCATGTTTGCTTAAGACAAGAAATACAGGACACAATAAAGGTCACCTGTCAAATACTTTTTGCTTATAAAGCCATTAGCATTTCTGTAACTCATTAGGGAACAGACAGAAGTGTTACAGATGGGACAAAAGGAATAATGCTGAAGCATTATTTCAGCAAAGATCATATCCTTCACAGTGTTTGCTGTTCCTAAAATGTGTAAAAGAAGAAGAATGAGAGATAATTTGCAAGTAAGTAATTAGAATGTGTTAGCTGAAACATTTCATGCCTGGTTTTGATCTGCCAAGCTCCCTACTGGAAAAATGACTCAGAACATCAAAAAGGAATTAGCACCAGGGTGCAAGAAAACAAAAGCTGCATAAATGACATACTTCCTCTGAAGGTGCTTGTGTAGTG